TCCCTACATTTGTTATTCCTTCTCCTTGCAGGAGTAAGGTAAAGCAGGAGATCCTCCAAGGCCAAATCAAGGCAGACAGAAAAGACATGGATGCAGCACCTTTGTGTCTGTGTCTGGGGGGGCAGATGTGGCATTTTCTGTGCGTTTTGTTGGACCTGTACTCGTGTAAACAAGACTCTTCTGTATCATGTAAAATTCACTGTCATGTAGGAATACCAAGCACTGTGTTCCCCCCTCCTCATCCTGACAAACAACCAGCTGTCACTTGGGTAATGATGGGTGAGCTGAGGGGTCTGGGTGCGTGTGCTGAAGGACTTCCTTTGTTTTAGAGCTCTGAGGAAAGGAGGAGCCTGGGAGGAGGATTCCGTGCTGCCTTTTGTTGCTGAGCCTGGCACAAGCTGTTTAAATCTTTGTCTGGTGCAGATGACCTGGAAGTCTGCAGCACCCAATCTCAATAAGAAATCTCAATAAATAAATGAGTGGCTATAAATTTGAGGCAGAAAAAGGCAGATACTTTTATTGCAGCTATTTAGGGAATCCATTAAAACAATAAAAGGAACCAGATTGTTTAGGTGTAGAACAGAGTGATATCCTAGCCAGTCCCATCCTTTTGTTCTCATGTGGTGTTCTGCACCAGCAATGAGAAGGAAAGCACTTGGAGACGTGTTTTGTAGGTTGTGATACAGAGTCTCCTTAGTTTTATTACATATTTCAGTTTTTATGGGCTTCAGTTGACTTGGACAGCTGTGAGCTGGTGTGCCACTTAAAACTTGTATTAAAAAAAAAAAGAAGTTTTGCCTTCTTGGATTTTGCAGAGTTGCTCAGTTCTAGGAGTCACAAGGGAATCATATTTTATGTGTCTTTTAAAAGAGGAAAAAGAAATGTGCCAAGAGAGTGATAGCAAAATTATTTTGGTTTTCCTCGTATGTTTTTATTTTGTTTAATCATGCAAAACTAACACTTGGCTATAGTTTAAGAAACTTATCATGGAAGCCTATAATCTCAACTTGTATATCCAAAGCCAGGAAAAGGCAAAAATGACACTTAAAACTTGTCAACGCCAGCCTGAAGACTTTCTGGGAAAATAGATAAAATAAATGCCCAGCACTAAGTGTGCTAAATGTTTGGATATGGTTAATGAGATTGTCTCCTCTCCTTTGTTACCTATTTCCTTGTAATAACTTTGGTCTGTCATTGTACAAGGGAATAAAGAAGAAATTGTCAGTGAGGTTGGAAAAACAGCTGTTTCTCTGACCAGAGCAGTTGTGCCTGAAATCGTGGTGTATCAGTTGAGACTGACGTCCTTTTGAGAGATAATGTTTTTTTAGGCTGTTTATACCAGGTCGAAGCAATAAATCATTGGTGTGACTGCTGACAATCTCCTCTATTTTTTTTCATTAGGTGGCAGTGAAAGTAATTGACAAGAAAAGAGCCAAAAAGGACACCTATGTCACCAAGAATCTGCGACGGGAAGGGCAGATCCAACAAATGATCCGCCACCCGAACATTGCTCAGCTGCTGGATATACTGGAAACAGAAAACAGCTACTACCTTGTCATGGAGCTGTGCCCTGGTGGCAACTTGATGCACAAGATCTACGAGAAAAAAAGGCTTGAGGAGCACGAAGCACGCAAATATATCCGGCAGCTTATCCTGGCAGTTGAACATCTTCATCGGGCAGGAGTGGTTCACAGGTAATCTTCAAAACCCACTTTAGTCAAAATGTACCTCAGAGCCTCTAAAGGGTAATTTTGCATTTATGTGTATAGTAAGGAAACTTCCTTCTAAAACATATTCTTGATGGCTTTTTTGGCTAATCTTCGTGATAATTGTTTAAGAGGCTGTTTTTTTAGACACTAGAAAGTATCTGCAGAAAGCACTTAAGAAAGTGTGCAGCTTCAGGTGGGCACACGGGAGCCACATTCATTCCGTGTCCTTTAAGGTTAAGC